CCCCAACGTTAGGAATCAAGTTAGCCAGTTTTAAAATGGGGAGAACACTCTCCAAAAACTCAAATCTCATCCCATGATGGTGCCGAATGTCCCATTTCAGTTCCACATTGGAACCGGGACTGGAGGAAGGTGTGTGTTGCTAATTCCAAGCAGTCATTTATTGGGTGTTGGGGGGGGGGGGGGATGGGGGAGAGACGACCACGCAGAGCAAACGGAAAGTTGGGGGCCAAGCTAAAACGCCTTGCTCACAAACGGGGATGAAATGGGGTCCCGAGTCCACAGCCAAAGAATGTTGGACGCTTTCCCCAGCCTCAGAAATGTTTTTGCATTTAAGCTTCGGTGGGTTTAGAGAGGAACGTAAGGAGAATTTCTGTAACGAGAGGAAGGGGACCCTCTTGGCCTGCCTTCAGCACTTGTACTGCAGGGCCGTCTGGCACCCGTCCAAGGCAGTCTGAACTTCTGAGAAACTCGATTTCCTGTCCCACTGCCTATGCTGCCTGAGAACTGGGGCGAACTTCACCCCTGAGATTCTCCAAAAATCTTACGCGAACACAATGTGTTTTGTCTAGTCTCCGAGTCATTGAAATCATAAAACTATCAACTTCTGCAATTCCACAGAGGGCTTTACCCATAACCTTGACTCTTATATTTTACAGAAGAGGCCAGGAAGAGTTCAGAGCTATTAAGTGACTGGGGGACGGAGGGGAATGGGAACAGGTTTCCTGACTCTGTGTAGCATAATTTCTTCCCCAGATTATGTAGACAAGTCCGATTCCAAATACCAGACCTTGGTGAGTTGTACTATGTGTAAGTGATACCTCACAACGTGATTAAAACGACAAATAATAACAAAAAACCCCAGGGTCTGCGACCCAAGCCTCCCCTTGAACCCGACTCTGTCTGACTCCAGACTGTGGACATTGCTGTCCTTTGCCTCTTAGTAGCATCATTGTCACTGCCGTGAAGGTGCGGTCCTCTTGTGGTTTGTGTCTGAGGAGGCAGCTGGAGACTGGAGAGGCACAGGCCACTCACCGAGGCGACTGGAAACAAAAGCTCGGGGAGTTGGGAGCCCCAGGGTCAAGAGCCTCTGGTAGTGCCGCGTAAATTTCACTTCCCAGTGAAATGAATCACTCTTCTCTCAGAGGGGCCCCTATGCGGACACCAGTTCCTGCTTGGGCTTCAGGATCAAAAACAAAACAGGGCTGGCAGAGGGCGATGGGAAAGGGACATTTGGTATTCTTGGCTAATTACAAAGTGTTAATGACATTCAGAGGAAACTCCCCCACCTCCCCATGTTTAGGGGCAACCGAAGGTGAGCCAAAGAAAAGACAGATCCTCCAGGAAAATGCAGTGCAAAACCCGCACCAATGATTTACAAAGGAAACAGGCATCCCAGCAAGTAGGAAAATCCGCCCAGGATGAAATCAGGTGGGACCCCGACCTCCTAAGTGATTCATCGTTGGGTTCCAGGGCCCAAGGATTGGTTATTGTAAAGCATTCCTTAAACAATAAGCTGACACAATAAATGGTGCTGTCCTTCTTAAAGTCCAGAGTAAACATATAAACACGAAGTATAAACGATGTACGTGGGAGGAGTTAGGATATGGGAAGACAACAGATTGAGACAATGCAGCTGTTTAACTTTTTAAAAAAATTTTTTTTAAGATTTTATTTATTTATTTTTTAGAGAGGAAAGGAAGGGAGATAGAGATAGAGAGAGAAACATCAATGTGCGGTTGCTGGGGGTCATGGCCTGAGACCCAGGCATGTGCCCTGACTGGGAATCGAACCTGCGACACTTGGGTTCGCAGCCCGCGCTCAATCCACCGAGCTATGCCAGCCAGGGCAGCTGTTTAACTTTGATGGTGACAGAAAATGTTCTTTGAGAGTATTCCTTAAGAAGATCAACATACTATTTTGTTTTGTCCCTCATGAATCTATTCTTGATGAAGTTTGGTCTTGCGGTGAAAAGTGATATTAAAGTGAAGATTTCAAATTTTTCCTCGGTGAGCATACGTTTGCCAGCCAGAACCTATGTATTTAGATCCTTCCTACAGTTTTAGTTTCCATCAAATACAATTCTGGGCATCCTGGACACTGGATCTTTTTATTTGCCCACTCTTAGAACTGTGCCTGACTCAGTCTGCAGAGAGACTGCGGAATGAATGAATTCAGCAACTTTTGAACTTCCCTTCTTGAGATGACCGTGTATTCCATGATGCTTATTCAATAGTTCCCCAGTTTCTCTCAAGCAGTGCTCATTTGTTTTCTCCCCTTTCGGCTTCTTCACCCTTTCTCTTCTCCAGGTTTCTCTGTGCAGTGTTTTTGCATGTTAAGTGGCTTTCTTGACACATGATTCAGCTATGTCATAGGCAACAATTCCTAGACGTTCAAGTTCATCAAAATCGGAGTCCAAATATTGCGAAAACCAAGGGTATTCACAGTGACAGTAGGATGAGTGAAAATAATCACCCGGCTCAGGGACTGGTTGCTTTAAGATATCTTGAAGGGTACATTAGTTCTCCATTTTACCAAACTGTCTACTTTTTGGCATGACTGACCAGATTTTGTTGGGCTCGAGTACCAGGGAGGGGGCTCTAGCGAAACTACAAAGTTCGAAGGCTTGTCTAACAAATGGCTTGAAGGGTCTTAGGGCAGGTAGAATATTCCGGAAGACCTGCCCTGTGTCTTCCTGCAACTCGGGCTTGCTTCACCCTGACTGAGTTCACCGTCCTAGGAACCGCAACTGCTTGCAGAAGAAACAAAGGAGAAACCACGATCGAGGGCAGCCAAAGCACGCCCTCTTTGTGGCCTGTCTCCTTTCGCCTAGCTCTTTTTCTGGCTCTTCCACTGTCTGTGCAGGCTCCTCCCCACAGGGGTGCTGGCCCCTTGTCCACCCGTTCACTGGAGCCCAGGGCGCACAGCCAAGCGGCTCCGGCAGCTGCCCGTGCCCCAAGTCTTGCATCATGCAGGAAGCAGACAAGCCGAGGTCCCTTAGCTACGGCCACAGGCCCATTTCCTTTGCTAGGAAACTCTATCTTTTCCGCTTTCCAGACCATCCATGCTGAGGATGGATTTCAACCCGGGCAAAGGGCTGGCTCTGTCCAAGATGGCTCTGTCCAAGATGGCTCACAAACGTGAGGGCGCAGAGATCCCTCGGAGATCAGGAAGGATCGCGTCTGCAGCCCTGTCTCCAGCTCCCTGTGGGCACCCAGGGCGGCCCCTGGGCCTGCTTCCTTGCGGTTTGCTCCAGGCACCTCCCGCTCTTGACTCCCTTGCTCCTCTCGGACAAGCCCCACCACTCTGCCGTGGGCTCCAGCCTCAGGCACAGGCACAGGCACAGGCGCTCCCTACAAGGCGCTGCTCCAGCCTCAAGCTCAGTGGCCACACCTGTATGTCAAGATCCGTGTTGAAAGGACCACTTATTTCCTTTGCCAGGTTGGAAGCCCTCTTCTTCCAACAAAGCCGGCCCGGCTTTATTTTTATGTTATTTTTGAACATATTTAAAAAATATATTTTATTTATTTATTTTTAGAGAGGGAAGGGAGGGAGAGAGAGAGAGAGAGAAACATCAATGTGCGGTTGCTGGGGGTCACGGCCTGCAACCCAGACATGTACCCTGGCTGGGAATCGAACCTGGGACACTTAGGTTCGCAGCCCGCGCTCAATCCACTGAGCTACACCAGCCAGGGCTGAACATCTTTTATTTCTTTATTTTTAGAGAGTGGAGAAGGGAGGTAGGAAGAGAGGGACAGAAACGTTGATGGGAGAGAGAAACGTCGATGTGTAGCTTCCCTGGGGACTGAACCCGCAACCCAGGCACGTGCCCTGAGTGGGAATCAAACCGGCGTCCTTCTGCTTTGCGTGATGATGCCCGACGCACTGAGCCAAACTGGTCAGGCAGGAGTCAGCCCATCTTTATATTCGGGAGCCCTCAGTAACTGGAAGGGAACCACTAATTCCTGACACCGAACACCCCCAGCTGTCCCCATCTCCTCCCCATCTCCCCACCATCCACTTGGTGCCCAAATTAGCAGATGAGACATCTTGGAGCATTCTGAACCATAACTGCCTCAGGTTTCCCTCTATTTCAAGCTCCGACTGTGTTCACAGTTAGGAAAGAAGACAAATCTCCAGCGCTTTGTGCAACCAGCCTTACTACTTCGTATCCCATCTGGATAAATGCAATGTATAAATGCCTCATCAAGGAGTTTCAGCCGACAGTGCCGTTCCAAGCTCGCTCTGTAATCGGGAAAACACACACACACACCGAGTAGCAGCGTTCGGCTAAAAATGCACTGCTGTCTCATTGCTCTTTAAAAGAATGTCACATCCAGGAATCATTCTCCGTCCCCAAGCAGGAGGCGATGTCAGGTGGAGACAAATGAGAATTGCAGAACTACTTGGGCAAGGCCACCTAGAAACAATCCGAGGAGGATGCTTGCAGGGCTAAAGAGGTACGAGGCGTTCTTTTATGAACACGAAGGGGCCACGTTACAACGCTCTGAAGAAAGGCTGCTGCTCCACTCTCCGAAGGGCCCATTTATCTCTTTTCCCAGCTGGAGCATTTGTGAGCTGTCTCCGAAAGAAACAACTCCATATGCAAATCTTGAAGCCTTTGTAACGGGGAGGAAGTCTATTTGAGGCGACTCTGTGTGGAGGAAGCAGAAAGACTTGAAAATGCATTTTTCACATAGGTTTTGTGAACTAACCAAAGCGTTCAGGGTGAATATGGTCACTTCAGTTTTGGGGTTTTTTTTTTTCCAACGAGATGTTATCTTCAAAGACCACAGGAAATGTTTATGTAAATGTAAAGGCTATGTCTCAAGAGTTCATAGAATAGATATAAAAATTTAGATACTTGGTTTCTAACGACTGAAGGCCTGACCCCTCCCACCCCCCACACTGCACTCCACCCTCCCGTTGTGTGAACTGGCCAACAAGTAATGCTAAGGCTTCCTAACAAATATTGGCATGGCTTTTTACACGTTCGGTCTTGCATTGCTCTCACTGAGAACTGCCTCAGAGAAATGTACCACGTGGAAGAGGAAACAAACAGAGGGACAAAAGGATGGATAAGCAAGTACAGCAAAATGTCAATGGTGAAATCTAAGCGGTGGGAACGTGAGTGATTTTATAACATTCTTTTCACTTTGCATGATGACTGCACGTTTTAAGAGGAAAACGCTAGGAAGAATCTACCACTCATTTTGAAAATGTCTAGAAACCTAAGATTGACTATTGGGCTGACACGACTGGGAATATCCATCCACACTCTCTCGCCTAAATAAATCAGTGAGTTCAGTCGCGATGGCCAATCAAACTTTGCTCATTTATCAGAGGGGGCCGCTAGTGCAGGAAATGGATATTTCCTTACCAACGCTCCTCTAGACGATTGTGTGCTTCATGTTAATGTACATTTCAGAATTGTCTCCAATTCTTAGACCGTTGGCCAAAGTTTTCACGCGAAGGCAGCAGTAAATTTCAGGCTCTGGCTGTTTAAGAACAAATGCAGGCATTCATGGCTTTCAGAAAGCCCTCTCTCTTCTACTCCCCTTCCCCCCTTCATACCTTTCTTTGGTGCTCCCTGTGCAAATGCTGTCGGGGGCCTTCTCAGTGGGGTTTCCAGGAGTCTCTCTAACTAGATTATAATCCCCTGCAAGGCAAGAACTAGATGATAATTCCCTGCAGGGCAACAACTAGATTATAATCCCCTGAAAGGCAAGACCTAGATGATAATTCCCTGCAGGGCAAGAACTAGATGATAATCCCCTGCAAAGCAACAACTAGATTATAATTCCCTGCAGGGCAAAACAGAGTCTGGGCCAGTTTTGTTTCTGTAGCGCTTGCTGCCGCAGCTGCCGTCCACAAATGCTGCCTTCCTCTGCATGTGAATGAATGCTGTGTGTACACACGGAGACCTAGGCTACGGCCTTGTCCTCAAAGAGCAAAGTCAACCTGCCTGGGCCTGAGGATCGTACATCTGCTTAGAGCACAGGCCCCTAGGGCTGGCATCCATCCCGTGGAGTCACTGGGGAATCCCGAAGCACTCCACTGCCTCCGCCCTACCCACGGAGCAGCTGCTGAACTGCGCTGGCAGGTGCGTGGCCTGGGCCTCAGGACACGGAAATCTCTCCCCGGCGCTAGACATGCGCAGGCAGCACCGAGAACACCTGCATTGGGGCATTAGAGGTGACCAGGTAGTCTCCAGGGCAGAAGCTGTATTATCTAAGTCAATGGTTCTCAATGGGGGCTGATCTTGCCCTTCAAGGGGACACAGTTGGCCGTGTCTAGAGGCTGGTTTGGTTGTCCCATCTGGGAATGGGAGTGTCTACTGTGTGGAGACCACAGAGGATGTTAATTCTTCTACAGTGCACGGGACAGACGCCACCTTGAAGATTCTCCGGCTTCATGTCTGTCATGCTGGTCTGTGGTAACTGTGATTAGCCTCCCACAATGGCTAACGATCTGGGATAGCCTTCATCACTCACTGAATTTCTACTCTCATCAGGGTGGACTCTGCCTCCCATCCAAGCTACAAGCCTAACCCAGCTGACTGTCCCTCTGTCCCCTGTACGGGCCTCATTTCAGGAAGGTTTGTTGGATCCATTTAAGAACAGAAGGGACTCCGCTTCATAGCTACCCCTGAAAGTGTGGCGATTTCAGTGAAAAGGAGACCCTTTTGTTTCCGCCTCTGTTCTGCAAAGGGAATCAAAGTTAATAGCCTACGGTCAGGTTGGCAGTTCACAAGAAAGGGGGGAGGTTGCCAGACCATCAAAATCACACCGTTTCCTGTTTTTGACGATGTATTTCAACAATGTCACTGAGCCCTTCAAAGACAAAACTGGCTGTTTGCCAGAAGCAGACCAGCTCCAAGAAGGTGCCACGGTGCGCTGTATTGTTTGACGCGGAGGGGGTCAAAGCGTGCTCTCCATTCTGTTCCTCTCTCCACTCCTGTTCTTTTGTTGTTGTTGTTGTTGTTAGGCTATTAAGATTCCTGCTGCAAATTCAGTTAAAATCCACAATTTCCTCTTTGTGGATCCCAGCAACTAATTATAGAGAAATTAGAGGCGATTTGCAACACTAGGATATCTTTTGAGTTTGCAATTGGCCGCACCAATTGGGGAACAATGGTTTCGAGAAAGGACAAATATTTGTACTGATTTGATTTCTTGGCATCAAAATTCCTCCCATTCGCTCCATTTGGACATGAAAATGTTTCTCATCAGCTCTGGAATCTACTTCCCCTCCCCTCTCCTTCCTGCTCATCCTTATACATCTCCCACACTCTCTTTATGTATTTATTCAAAAGACTTTATTTACTTTTAGAGAGAGGAGAAGGGAGGGAGAAAGAGAGGGAGAGACACATCCATGTGTGGTTGCCTCTTGCGCACCTCCTAATGGGGACCTGGCCTGCAACCCAGGCATGAACCCTGACTGGGAATTGAACTGGTGACTCTGTAGTTCACAGGCCAGTGCTCAACCCACTGAGCCACACCAGCCAGGGCTAAATAAATAAAATCTTTTTTAAGATTTTATTTATTTATTTATTTATTTATTTATTTATTTATTTATGTATGTATGTATTTTTAGAGAGGGAAGGGAGGGAGAAAGAGAGAGAGAGAGAGAAACATCAATGTGCAGTTGCTGGGGGCCGTGGCCTGCAACCCAGGCATGTGCCCTGACTGGGAATCGAACCTGTGATGCCTGGTTCACAGACCACGCTCAATCCATTGAGCTACGCCAGCCAGGGCAATAAAACCTTTTTTAAAAAAGAAACAAAGCACAAGATAAATGCTTAAGCTTGCAGTTTAGAAAACTAGTGCGAATTTGCTTATTTGGCATGTAGATGTAGGCTAATAAACCTTGTCACTACTATTACAAATACTCATGCAAACCTTTTCCTTAAATTATTATTCCTCAGAACTCACGCCATTCTAACTGTCCATTGAATGGTCTTTCTGTCATGATATAGGCCATTCGAGTGGTTATTTGTAAAATACAGAATCCAGCTTTGGATAACCGAAGCAAAAACTGAATTCACGAGAAGGACACGGTGGTTCATCTCATCATCAGAGAAATGAGAGCTGAGGCCTGGACAATAAACAGGAAACCACGGCGGGCCGGATGGCCAAGGAAAAGGCTGAGGTCATGCCGGGCTCCGGGTAGGGGCTCACTGCTGCTGCCGCTGCCCCTGGGCCTCCCCAAACCTTTAGGCTCCTGAGTCCACCACTGCCTCCCAGCGCATCTCATGCCAGCTTCTCTCCGGACTCCAAGTCCGGGTGCGACTTTCCGATGGGCTGAGCCCACGTCATGTGCTCAAGTCCCAGGCCCAGAGAACTCTGGGAGAGGTCATCATCTGATACCTTTGGCTTTCCCCTTGGGAAATCTCCTACCAAGACCCAAACAAATAGGGAACTGTTTCTAAACAGGGAGTTCAATGCTTCATGAGAGAGAGGGGGAGAGAGAGAGAGAGAGAGAGAGGGAGAGAAATGAGAACCGATCACCATTGTGAGGTCTCCACTTCTGTTTCTGGAATGACACTATAATTTATGTATGGTTATCTTTATTATGCCTCCTTAAAAGTAACATGTTAGCTCCTTGTAATCGCATCTGATCTCATCTATCCCCCACCCCTTGGCTGCTGTTACTGTTTTTAATGATTCTCCGCAACAGCAATGATGCTTCATCGTCACCTAGTGCTTGTGGCTTTCAGAATGCTTTCACGTATAGGGTAGCATTTCATTAAAGAATCTCACCCTGGCTGGTGTAGCTCAGTGGATTGAGTGCGGGCTGCGAACCAAAGTGTCGCAGGTTCGATTCCCAGTCAGGGTATATGCCTGGGTTGCAGGCCATGACCCCCAGCAACCGCACATGGATGTTTCTCTCTCTCTTTCTCCCTCCCTTCCCTCTCTAAAAATAAATAAATATTTTTAAAAATTAAAAAAAAAGAATCTCTGTGTAGTAGGAATGATCCCTCCCATCGTGTTTACCTTTTTTGACATATCTTTTTGTTAACCCCCTCCCTGTCCAAACAGTAACCCTGCCATTCCCCCTTGCTTCCTCAGCAACATTCAAGAGTTCCATATTAATCACTGGAATGAACACTGAGCTTTTTTCCCCTTGAGGTTCCTGCCCATCAAGTCTCTGCCAGCACCACAGATCACTCCTCCAGCCAGCAGGGTCCCTCCTGCTCAACCCTGGGTCTTCATGCACCCATTACTCATTGTCCTCCATGGAAATAAGTCCCTGAATTTTGAGTGAAAAAAAATAGACCTATATTTGTATTAATTTTCTTAGTATTCCAGAAATGTGCAAGTAGCAGATTATTTTCTGTAGTTTTATAGTTTGCACTTTTTTTTTAAGAGAGAAGGGAAGGGAGAGAGAAAGACAGGGAGAGAACCATTGGAAACATCAATGTGCAAGAGATACATCAGTGGGTTGCATCTTGCATGCTCCCCACTGGGGACCTGGCTCACAACCCAGGCATGTGCCCTGAGTGGGAATCGAACTGGCGACCTTCTGTTTCGCAGGCTAACACTCAATCCACTGAGCCACACCAGCCAGGGCTGCACATGTCGTTTGTGAAAAAACCTGAAATGGAATAAAAATACTTTAGTGAATTCTATAAAAAGTTACATTCATCTAGCTCTGTGCTTTTTGGAAAAGTAGAGAAGGTCTCTGGGCCCTTACCTGAAAAGCTAATTGTTGGACCAGATGATCTCTGATTCCTTCTTCGATAGTCATCTTCTACGTATTTAAAAAATTCCACACACAGAAGAGGGAAGTGACAGAGGAGGGGACTCATGGTAACATTACAAAATGAAACTCCCTGTCTCACTGGCTTTATCTGAAAATGAGAATCGTAATTGATCTTGTTGGAGTAGCTGAGGATAGATGAGTTCACCGACACCTGGTGAATTAATTGTTATAAGCTACTTAAAGACCTTTATACAAATCTCCTGGAGATGTTTTGACAATAAAAACCCTAAGCATGAAAGGCCCAAGTCTTGTTCTAGGCACCTCAATCTTTATTAAAACGTCAAAACATAATAGTCATTATTATTTTCAGGTATGATAATGGCATTATGTTTATTTGTGTTTTTAAAAAGTCTTTATCTTTT